CACAATTTTTTCGGGTGTAACGTAACTAAAAATATTTCAACATTACAAGCCTCGGAATACAAATGCACACAGACGTAAGGTTATATATAGAGATGGGGAGATATGTCTGATGTTCATGCAAAGATCACGTGAATCGATCAGAAATGTGAGGCTCGTTCAGATGCGTCTGCTGTAAAAATGTTGGCGCACAATCAGCCGAAAAATTTAAAAGAATTTCGTAAATTTACAACAACGTATTTTCCCTTTTATTTCATACGTAGAAAGTAATAAAGAAAATCGAAATCTACGAAACGAAAATTTTCCCAGTAAAAACTATTTTGAGTCTCTTACTATTTGGACTTTGGATGTGCGTAAAGGAAATTTCCGAAAATTCTGAACGTAAGGCGTAGGCAAACTTAAAATGTTGTTTTTGCAAATGAATAGGAAAACCTGAAAATTTGGCAATAAAAAACACGGAAATGTCTTGACTTATTTTAAAAAGTTGCCCAAATGTAAGGCCAACTACAACGGCCATCGAATCTGACCCATGTAAAAACTTGGACAGTTCTAGGTGAAATCATTTTGGACAGGTTAATGACACAATAAACGGGGGGACTCGAGCAAGGTCTTTGGATTGAAAACTAAGGAAATTAAAAAGTATTTTTAGGCATAATTTTAATTTACCCGAAATGTTTGGGGATTTTAAAAAGCCCTTTTACTGAACGAAAAAAACTCGTTTCTCCTGCTGCCATCAACGAACTTAATGCGGCTTGCATATTGAGGAGTTTACAAATTTATTGACTTGTAAACCGGACCCTCAAAAATAAATGTGGTCCGTAATGCATACGGAATTGTGGTTGCTTCTCGGTGTTGAACAAATGCAGTTGATAGTCGAAACTCGTTTCCCTTGGTGAAAATGTAAGCCAAAGTGGGGAAAATGAATGGAAATGTAAATGAATATTTTATTATTTTTTTTTTTTTCGGCTGATGTCTTTTGTAGTGACACGTTTCAGGAAAGCGATCGAGAAAATAAAAAGAAAAAACGAGACCCGTCTGCGGTCTCCGATTTCTGGTTGGTTTCTTGGGCGTTGAGCCCACACACCAGATAAGCGATCGCCTTAAAAAAAAAAAGAAACCTGTTGAAGAAAATGCAGCAACAGCAGGCGCACACCACCACCGATCATGCCCCCAATGCGTGATCGTCGATAGTCGTTTCGATCCAATCCGATTCGAACTGAATCGGGTGGTACGATCTCCGGCAATACAGCCGGCGTTCAATAAACAGAAAGCCACCAGCCACCAGCCACCAGCCACCAGCCAGCCTGCCAATAGCCAGTTCAATTGTTGGCTATTTGTACTTCTCATATATATTTAGCACTCGATGCGTTTTCCCCCACTCTCTTCAAATATGCAGACCAAATAAATGGTGCTCTGTGTGGGGGGCAATAAGTCGCAGGTCTGTTCTAACTGACGGAAACTTTTCGATTTCTCAGCGTTAGTTGAGTTATTTCGGTTTGGCAACAGAGAGAGCTCATAAAAAGCGGGCCCCTAACCAAGTTGATAGGCCAAAATTAGTCTCAGTATCTTATCGAATTTATGGCCAACATATTAAAAACAGCGTTTACCTTAGCTACAGTTGACTAACAATATTTAATAATAAATTTAGAAAATCTCCAGGAGTCTTAAAAACAGAAATTCTTCTGTAAGGTCTGAATTTTTGTGTACGAAATTTGCTCTCTGAAAATCGTAAATCATTTATGGTGATCTTTAAAATAATTACTTAACACTTCATAATTATTATCGTCCACACATTTAAGGTGAAGATCTGCACGGTTTCAGAATAATAAATTTACGATTCCGAAAATGATACACCTATTAACAAAATTTATAAAAACAAATTCCAGTCTTTTGACAGACTCCGTGAAATTTTTCCTGTTCATAAATTTCAAATTTTTTTTTTGTCATTTCCTACGTTTTGAATCACGAGTTATCCTACATATTTGAGTGGGGTGTGTTTTTATTTACATTTAAGCCAAAGACTCGTGGGAAGAGTCGCCCAATAAAAAAAAGAATACAGAAAGGCAAAAAGAAAAGTAGGCGTGTTTAACATATAGATTAAGGCAGATCTTTTGCCAAAATGGTACGTGACTGCTAAAAATAAAACAAAAAAAATATACACTACACATTACTCTTTTAATGACGCAGGGAATTTTTCGGGAACCATATTGATTTAAGAAATGAAATCGTTCCCAGAAATGAAGTTTTTGAGCAGGAGGAAAGGTGCTTTTTACAATGTATTAGGGTTAGAAAATGCCAAGCAATTGGCAGACAATAAAAAATCTTCCTATTTGGCAATAAGTCTTAAAAAATGCATTTGGCAAAGACGCAGTTAGCTAAACTAAAAGTCAAAACAAACCAATAAAATGAAACTGTATAGAATTAAAATAGAAATCTGCCCAGCGAAAGATGCCGAGTCAATGACCACACAGCAATATAATAAAGATTTTCAAATGGGGGGTCAAGTCAAAGTGATAAAGCCCGGGTCAAATCTACGTTTAATAATATATATTTAAATAATGAATAAATAATTTATAATCTATTGGGATGTACTCATTGGATGGTGTTTCTTGTATTTTTTTTGCAGCCGTGGCCCCAAAAAAGCATGTGATTTTTGCCGACGATGAGGGTCTATCGCTAACCGAGGTTCGTGTGATGTCCGAACCCTCGAACGTGCCGCCCTATTGGAGCATGAAGTTCTTGGAGCAGATAACACAGGGGCTGGTCAGTCCACATCCTCCAGATCAATGGACAGTGGACTTCAAACAGCCAGCTTCAGACTATCTATCATTTAGGTGAGCTAAGGAAAAGTACAATCTCCTAAAACACAATTTTTAACACATTTGTAATTTATAACATGATCACTTCTAATGTTTATATTTTTTATTACAGACAAAAGATAGACCGGGATTTTGTTTCCCTTGAGAATGTGATCGTTAAGGACGAGGAGTCGATTGTGGTGGGCACCATCAAGGTGAAGAACATCGACTTCGAGAAGGAGATTATAGTCCGTGTGACCTGGGATGATTGGAAGAGTCAACAGGACATCTTCTGCACATTTGCCAGGGCCTATGGACCGGCCACTTGTGCCCATGTAGTCTTCGATACATTCTCCTTCAAGATCACCTTGCCCCCATCCTCCAAGCGCCTGGAATTCTGCATCTGCTACCGCACCAACAACACAGAATATTGGGACAACAATGATGTGAGTTCAAAACAAAACAAACTAAGAGAAATTACAGAAATATTAATAATTTAAATGTTTTTACAGGGTAAAAACTACACCATCAGCAAGCGATCGCCCTTTTACTACAACGCCTTGTCGCCCTACGATAAGGGTCAGAATCGCAATTCGAGCCAGCAACTAAGGTCCACCCTGACCGATGCCTTGGCCAAGGTGCAAGACCAAAATGGCTATAACCAGGAGCCCCTTACGCCATATTGGTAAAAATCGCCTGGGAACGGGATTGGATTTTCCTGACCCAAGCGAATGAATAAAGTTTCTCATTTAGGCCACATGAACAGAAAGAGAAAAGGATTGGAACAGATTTAAAATTTAGAACACCTTCGGTGACAGAAAGAAAGAGAGAGAGTCCAAAAGATTTTACCACTTACAAAACTTTTTTGACTTAAGCTAATACCTGGTACAAAAATCCCAATTTAAAAGTGCCATTGACTTGAGGATTACTCAATGATAAATGAGATGGAAGGGCTTATAACTACTTCTTCTATGCAAAAGCCCGAATTTGTATGTTTTGTCTTTAATCGACTCGATGGAATTTCTAAAATCGTAACTTCTATGTATACTTTGAAAATGTTTTATGTTCGATTGTAAAGAATTTTTGGAAACGAAAGATTTATATGTTTACCTGTATGCCTGTGTGATTGTCTACATCTATATAACTGATATTAGATTTATGTAAACTAAAAACGAAAAAAAAAAACCATAAAAAACGAGAGGAGATAAATTTTGAGGCGTGAAGCATCCAAGCAAACCATTGTTTCGAAATTTTCTGCAATTGCAAAATAAAGAAAACAAAAACACACATTGATAAACCACACAAGAAAAACTAAAAAAATTTAGTCCCTAAGTTTTTATTCGTTTTATTATTTTCATTTTATATTCTTTTCATTTCATTATACAATTTATTCTTTTTGGTTATTTGAAACGCTAAGACTGAAATGGCTTGTTATGGAGAAGAAAACACGTCCTGCAATATATTATAAAATAAAATAAAAAACCACAATTCGCATCATCACATAACAGACAACAAAGTACTTTGTCCTCATTGTTCTGTGTGATCCAGATCCCCGATATATACACCTAACTAGATCTAAGTGATTTGTACATACAGAAGCAAAAGCAAACAATATACCAGAAAATTGCCTGTTAAATACATTTATATACATATGAATTTAGTTATATAAAAACGCATAGTTCGTAGTCCTTAGAGGTTATTTAGTTAGTAAGGCGCCCAACGGACGAAACGTGAATGAATCAACTATATATGTGCCCATATATAAAACGTACTCTTTAATTATTTAGTTTTTAAAGACCTTATGACACAACGAGCCACTATATTGTCTTATTCAGCTCAATGCTCATAAACAAAATAAATATTTTTGAAAAAATACTCTTTGTTTTTTAATACATTAGGTAAAATATGAATTTACCTTTCATTGCCAAAAAAAACTTATTTGAAGATAATTTATTAGTTTTTTCAACCCAAAATTTGTTTTATCACTTCAGACCCGAAATAGTCACAGGAAAGTTAATAATGTTCATCATTTTTTTGCTTGGGACTACCTTGCTAATAAAAATCGTATAAAACCCCATTTTCAATGTCAGGAACAGCACTTGTTGGTCATAAGGTTATCTCCACGAGACTTCTGACGTGATCGTCGCCACTAGCAAGCTATAACCAGTTCCCGATAGATAGAAAAGATTAGAAAATGCATCGGGGTAGTGTTTTTATAGTTTATAATTTAATTTATTCAGAGTGCTTTCTTGGGTAGCGGGTCAGACAATTGAAACAGCATAATATCATATTCGCATGTGTGGCCTTTTTGGGGCGTGGGGCAGCGGGCTTTGAGGGGAGGGGAGAACAGGGGGCTGGCCATCAAAGGTACAACATACGGACATACTTTCTAGACACACATAGGGTTAAATATAGCACATAGAATTAGAGTGTATATGGAATTGAATACTTTGAACTTGAGTGTAGCTTAGTTACGTGGTTACGTAAGACAGAATGTTTAGCGACTAAAGTTAGATAGATTCGCATTCATAAGAGTGAAGGTAAATAGCTGTGTCAGAGAAATGCGTATAGTATTGTTTCTGGAATGTACATGTGCAATGGCACACACGCAACATTGATGTATTGTTGTGAAGATATAAGAAAATGGATTTTTGTCTATACAGAAATCGAAAATTCGTTAGAAAGTAAAAGTATGTTGCTCCTGGGTCTGCCCACAATTACGCCAACTAACCGACTCTGGCCTTAAGGTAACCGATTCGACTTTGCAACTTTAGTGCTGCTTGGCCTTCAGGCTGGCGGGCATCTCTGGTGGTGGTGGACGGGGAATGCCGAAGGCGACCTTCACACCGTCGTAGATGAACCATTGCAGCGCGGTCAGGGTACCGATCATGATGATACGAGGCGTCAATCCGTTCCACATTCCGCTGAAGCCCAGCGACTTGGCCACGCTCACGGCGCTGGCTCCCTTGGTCTGGTTCAGTTTGGAGACCACCACGTCGGCGGGATGCGACACCACGGCGCAGAACACACCGGCGATGTAGCCAGCGGCGAAGGTCACGACCAGCTGCTCGCCCTTGGAGCAATCGGCACGGGGCTTGGGCACCACATACCTAGAGAAGATTGCGTCATTAGTATTGATTCAATATTTGAATGAGGTTGGTTAGGCATTATTGATTTGCCCTGGTTTTCAAAAATAACAATTTTTCACATTTACTCATAAGGCTTTGTTTCAACGAGTCTGTTATAAAGAAAAGCCAGACATTTAGTAAAAGTCTCATAACGAATATTACGTTTCAAGTTATGGTAAAAGTTGTTTCTTATCAGCAAAGAAGATAAAAAAACATTCTTTTGATAAATGCGTCAGACCTTCTTATCTAAAAAATAATTTGATTATGAAGACCTTGAAATAGGAAAATTAGCAAGTCACTTCAAGTGAAATTTTAAAGATCAATGCGTATGAATTAAGTTTGGCTTCAGTAAAAGTTTAATCAATTAGATTTTTTGAGTTCTGTAAATTGGCGTTTCTTTTTATCTGGCAAAAAACGTGTATCTTTATCCTTTTTTTAGCAAATGTTTTTATCGCAAATATAATCATTTATCAGTCTGTTCGGATTCTAATAAAACCATTTAGATTCGAATAGGTGCAAAAAACAATTCTTACTGATTAAAAAACGAGGAATACCTCGTCATTATGAAAACCAGTGCAAATCCGCTAAGCAATCGTTACTTACTTGTAGAGCAACTCCACGGTGCGCTCGAAGCAAGCGAACTTCATCATGGTGTATGGGATCTGTCGCATCCACAGGGGAACCAGACCCTTGTAGAAGGCGTTGATGCCCTCATCCTTCAGCATCTTGGGCACGGCCTCGCGGAAGTTGTTGGCGAATCCGGGAACGGTCTGGATCTTGACCTTGGCGGCCTCGAACGGAGCCAGGGCGATATCGGCGAAGAACTCGGCCGAAGCGGAAGCAGCCAGATACAGGGAGGTGCGGTAGAGGTAGGCGTTCTCCTCACCGATGATATCAGCGTACTTCACTTTGAACAACTCGTACAGACCGAACTTGCACAGACCCTGGAAACAAAAATTTAGTTTGGTTAAATATTTCACGTTTACGATTAGTTTAATTAGTTTGTTTAGGTTGGTCGCTAAATGAAGTTTTAGCTGATATAATTAAACATAAACTCTTTAACTCAATAATTTACCATTCGTTCATTTTTAAATGACTAACTTATATGGCGGTTTAATCTGCAGAAACGTTTCGTATGCAAGGGTATTATATTTAATAACTTTTGTGTTTAATAACATAACACGAATTCTTTTTGAACAATTTTGTGTATGTATGTCAAGAAATTTTTGTTGTAATGCTATAAAGAATGTAGACTTTTATTGCCATAAGTAGAGGTGCCAGTTATAGCAGAGTGTTATAATTATTCTTCCTCAAATCCCTCACATCAAAACATTAAATCGATGTGTTATCACTTCTTGTATCTGTTTTCCACCCGGAAGTTTGTAATTGGGGTCACCTGACCAAGTCACGAGCGAAAGCAGATATAATCCTCTCCAAGAAGATTATGCAACCGCAAAAACGCTGGAGTCCCCGTTTTCTTACCTGAGCCGAGTATCCCAGCAGGGTGGGGAACCATCCCTTGGCCAGGCCACGGGCGCCCTCCTCCGCGACGGTGACCTTGAATCCATGGACCAGATTCTTGTACTTGGCCGGGTCGACCTGCAGACGGCACTTGACCAAATCCAGGGGGACCACGAAGGTGTGGGTGGTGCCGCAGCTGAGGATGCCACCGATTCCACACAGAGCGAAGTACTTGTTGCTGCCGAATTCGCAGGAGTCCTGCTGGTTGGCGACCGGAGCGGCGGCGGCGGCGATCTGGCGACCTTCAACCGGCTGGGGATCCACTGCAGGGGCGGCGGCATCGCATCTTGCCGACGTGAAGGGGGTGCGGAATGGCGAGTTCCGGGCAGTTTCAATGAAGCTCGAGAACATCTTGTCTTTTGTTCTGGATGTGTTTGATCGGCTGAAAGAATAAATAAACGACGGACATCTATTAGTTACGTACGAAACTTAGCCATGTGCTTTATCTAATTATATATATCGCTGGGGCAATCAGCTGCTTTTCGCCTTTATAGGTTACATAACGGCGTGCCGAAAATTCCGCGCACTTACGACAACTCTGTATTAAAACAAAAATAAGATGCGGAACAAATACAGCAATTTTGTCAGAATCCAGGAAAATGTACCGAAACGGCTAGCTTACTTCGATTTTGCTTTAACACAATCTTATGCAATTTTTCTACCCTTGATTTTCGCACTTACACTTCGTCAGCAACCTTTTTCGGCTCGTGGGCGGGGATTCAAAGAATGAGGGGGGAGCTCACAGCTGTTTGGCGAACTGCCCGCAATACCAAAGACGAAGAATATAGCGGGCGTTATTTTTGGTCAACCGCGACTGGTCACACTTAGTTTGAGTGAAAAAAACCGAAGTCTACGACTTTTTATTATTTCTTGGGACAAGGGCGTTGCCAGACTTCAAACCAGGGGGAAAACTTTGATGGAACTCCACCGCGGACATCAACCATTGCAGGTAACATAAAAACCGTCTTACTATAATTTTTAATACGCTTTATGAAATTGAAGTTTTTAAATTAGGTATACAAAGGATTATAATTTTTATTTTTCTGTAAACATTTAAGAATTTAAAGAACCTTTTTTAACATTTCTAGTAAATCAGTTTTCTCAAGAAATATCCAATTGCAATGATGTAGAAAACTTTGCAATTGACTTGACCCGAACCTTTATCTTTTATGCACGGACAGGCTTTCAACTTTTTGTACTCCATCTTATATTTTACTCTGCAAGTAAAACAAAAATCTCCTTGGTGATCTCCAGTTAATAGGATTTGACAGCCAGTTTCAGGAGCCCAAATACAACAAATCTTGGCATCGTTAAATTCTGTAATTTTAAAGGGTAAAATGGAGAACAAAAAGTTTCTTTGTTTAAAATACCAAATTTCTTTATGTCAGGTGGGATGCAGACGTCCAAATCGGTGGTAGTTTCGGGAAAAGCAGCATCATCAGAACCCTGGCGTCTATATATTGGTCCATCATAACAACTATATCCCGTTTCATTAATGGGACACAGTTTTCTACTTTGTTTTGAACAGTCTAAGCACTTCATAGCCGGAAGTTCGCTGTCAGTCGTGGAAATGGACGTATTTCTGAATTTAGCATACGTAATTAAATAGCTTTCACTAAGTAATATAAAAAGAAATATACAATTAAAAGACATTTCAAACAGAATTAATTTTATGTGGTTGCTTTGGTTGGGAAATATAGTAATAGTCATTCTTGTCAAACGATTTTCAAGTGTAGTCTTTAGTGTTGGAAATTTAATTTAATTAACTGGAAATTAGAATTAAGCGTATTTTAGCCAAAAAATAAAAATGATCATAAAACCTTTAATAAATTAGTCGAATCAGATCAGATAATAATCGTTACTAATCTCTTAAATATTCTGCAACAAAAAATTTTAAGCTTGCAATGAGCGGACAAAAGGATTACTATTAAAGTAAGTAAAGCTTTTCTTGTAAACCATTTTGTTAACATAATTTGTTACTTTTATTTATTTTACAAAGAATGTCTAACTATCAGAGCCACTTAAAAAAAAAAAAAAAAACAGATGTGCATATATGTTTTGACTTTTTTTATAAATTAAAATTATATTCCCACCTTTGTGAGTGCTATTAGAATAATCTTGAAGGATAGTTGTATGCAAAAAGCTAAGATCAGCTGACTAAGTGGCTCTCTTTGGAAAGCTTTGAGTCTGGTTTTGCGCTTCTTTCTTTTGCTTTGCAGGGGTTTTGCTTTTTCTTTTGGCTTTGCCTCTTTGTGTTTGCTCGCTCGTGGATTTTCTGTGGAGTGGAGCTCCGTCGTCAGTTTGAGTTTGGTTCGTAGCGCGTTCGCACACGCGCGCTCTCTTAGTTTATATATAATCCCATCCGATCCGAGATCCGATCTGACCGCCGTCGTGCCCATCGCCGCATCTCGCTCGCTCTGATCAGTTGGCCAACGTTTTGGGTCTGCGTACTTCGCGGCTAATTTCCAACTTAAAGAAGTGAAAAACAACAAAATCAGGCAAATAATTGAGTAATTAAAGTAAACGTAAGGAGAGCTGCTCTGCCAAGTGTTTTGTGTTTGTGCGATATTCGTGTAACGGTCTGCTAACTGGAGCTGGATCTTAAAAATGATTACGTTTGAGCAAATTGATTGTGGAATAGTTTTGAAAGCTGAAGAGTGGCTGCGATTAACTGATCGATTTTGTTTTGTTCGAGAGGAGGAAGCATAAAGCCGTCAAGAAACTGGGATTTGCTTGCCATGTTTTTACAAGCGGAAAAGAAAGTTTGATTTAGGAGAATAGGAAAGTGATAAAAGAGAGGAGTTAATGGAAATCAATAACATGGAAGCTTATCTTTATAAAGAAAACTAAGAAAAAAACTGAGCAAAGAATTATATACGAGTAATAAATATGTGTCACAGTTTAATCTTCAGATCGATCTTTTCAGTGGATCAAATTTCTTCTTCATTATTTCTTAGAAGATTTTGACGATGATAAAATTAATTGCAACCAGTAACAGATTACTACAATTAAAAATACTTTCTAAACAATGCAACAACCTGAGTGATCTTCCACTGCATATCGTGTTTCTAATGATCTCATAAGATTAGCTCATTTTTATTGGCAAAAAACATCAAGACGATAATGTAATGCAAAATTTAAATTGTTAATCTTAGCGATTACATATTCTAACTTATGGGAAATTATAGCAAAATGTAAATTCTAGGGAGCCAATTTATATTCCTTTTTTACATAGTTTAATGTAACGTCTAAAACATAAATAGAAACGTTTCCATATTCCTAAGCCGGATGTTTTCATTTGTTCTAAACATTTATTACCTTTTTCATCCGTTAAAAAATAAGTAATTCCTGAAAATAAAGAAAAAGTAATCAACACCAGCTTCGACTAGTTAACAAACAGCAAAAATTGGCCACTTCCTTTAGTTGGGCGCCAAGTCATTAGCTGCTGCTCTGCGCCCCAACACCCCTCCCCTCGGTTACCACCCCTTTGTTCCCCCTTGGGGGTCCCACTCAAAGTACCGCTATGACTAGACAGGCCTTGTCCACATATTTCTTTATTTTTTTCGCAAACGAATATATGCAGCCATTAGCCGCCGCATCAACAAACGAGACGCCACAAACACACTCTGATCTTTTGAGGCGCACACAGATACTCGAAGGAGGATCGGTCGGAAAGGGGGGAAGTGGAGGGGAAGGGACTCGGTGACGTTTGCTTTGGGGCCCCTTCACTTTTTGTTGTTGCACAGAAAAAAAAGGTTTACTAACAAACATAAAATCATTTTAAAGTTACCAAATTTGTAAGTTCAATGTTGGGTTAAATCGCAAAGAGCTTCGTTTTGAAGTAAAACCATTTTTCATCACAGTATAAATGAGTTTTGTAAAAAGATAAATTTTTTTTTTTTTTTTTTTTTAAAGCAATTTCTAAACATTTTTTGAGCATGATAAAAAGTACAAAAATAACTGCAATAAAAATATTTTTAACGAAACTAAATACTTCTTATCATATATACATGTATATTATAATAAAATAACATTTTTTTGGTTTTATCAAAAACACATTTTTCAAGCTTTATGAATCTTTTGAATTGGTTAAATCTTTAGAAAATTGTTTAACTACAAAAAGAATTATTATATTGAATGCATTTTCAAAGAATAATTTATTTATGATATTTTCTTTGTGACTAATTTTTCCGTGTGCTGTTTGTTTTTTTTTTTTTTCGTGGTCGGATGAAAAAGTTGCCGCGGCAAGTGCAATTCGCGGTACGCCGTCCACGAATCGCATTCCGCTGGCCGAAAGTATCTTTGGAGTTTTGCATCTTGTGGATGTCTGTCGCGCTTAACTGTAAATTGAGGCATGTGCCGCACTCGCTCGCTCTCCCTCTCTCTTTCAGCCAAAGTACGCTCTCTTTCGTCTGTCAAGTTCAATGTGCGTTGACAATTTTCCATTTCCCAATGGGTGGCGTTTTCCACTGTGCTTCTTGTACTTTCACACACATTGGGTTTTTCATTGTGCCTGCGCAACTGTGCGTGTATTTTAATTTATTTTAAATCGAACGGCAATTTAAATTTAATCCAAAGCCAAAAAAAGGTAGGGAGTCTTTTTTTGCGCACTCAACCCGGAACTGAAGGTATAGGAGTACCCGAAATTAAGCAGTCGCCCTGCCGATCGAGTCTTGTGTGGATGTTTTTCCGAGCAATGTATCTACGTATCTACGTATCGCTCCATCCTCATCGCAAACGCAATGCATAAATCAACGACGGAAAGAAGAAAAAATCTCCGCTTCGTCTGATTTTTTTTTTTGTTAGTTTTGTGAAAGCGCAAGTCGTAGCGTAATTTTTACACTTTTACCAAAGAGAAAGAAGACGGAAAGATACATAGATACTCTTTACATACCGCTCATAAGCATCTTTTCTCTATTACCCGCCGACATACACGATTCGTTTGCCGTTGTTTGTCTTTAAGCCGCTTAATTGAAAGTCTTGGCCTGACTTATGACTCGTTGGAAAAGCCAAATGTGAACAAAAAAAAATAAAAAGAAGACCTCAAGTCGGTAAACGCTTTTCCAGCTGGGCCAAAGTGAAACCGCAGGAGCGATGAGAAATATAATTTTATCGATTGCAGTGGGCTTGGTAAAGGGAAAGCTTTCAAAACTATAACCCGAAAATCTCAACTGTTTTTGTAGTGCAATAAACTCGACTAAACGAAACTAATGTGGCTATAATATGCAATCAAATTTGAATATCTGATAAAGTGATCGGGCTAGAATCAGCCAATGTATTTATCTGCCAATCTGTGCATGTGCTCAAAAATCAACAGAACAAACTGAAACCCACATCGGACCAAAAACAAGGTAAGACGAAATGTGTTTTAATAATCTTGCCTGTTTTAGTTTTTATTTATTTTTGCATATCCATTTGTTAACTCGTTTGCGATGTCTATTAACGGCATTCAACGCCCGGGGCTGTGAGCTCATCTCGCATTTGAGATATCTTTCGGTTCTCAGCACGAAACTTGTTCGTTCGGTGATTCATTTTTCACAGCCCTGCTTTTCGATCTGTTTATTTACAGTTGTGATATCTTTTCGCTTTGCATCTTTTGGCATGCAATACAGACACGTTCAAATATTTAATCAGTTAACCGTTTCGGGTTAGTTTGTTTAACAAGCCCCCATGGTTTTGCCATTGTTGTTAACTTTCCAAGTCGTTGCACATCTTTTCCCCCCATCCGCCTGCCAAAGCCAATGTCAAGGTTGCCAATGTTGATGTTTTGGATACGAAGCAAATGAAATAAAATATAAAACGAGTGCGAGTTGCCGGCTTATTGCCAATTGTCTGCCGCTAATTGGAGCTCAACACTCCTCAAGTGGAACGAACGCCCAGTCTTGTCTCTCCTTTTCGCATAATTTGTAATCGCTTCGTTTTTCGGACAAGCAAAAGATATTTTTAAAAAATAAATTAAGTGTGGCGGGCAATTAGTTGTGTCTTAAGCTGGCTATTTACAAAACGTAGGCAGATTAATTGCCGTCAATGAAGATGAACGTGAGATGGAGATGGTCGGAGGGTTTTCGGATTTTCGGGCTTACAGCAGGTAGATCACCAGATAATAAAACACTTTCCGGGTATTTTTGGGGCTAGCCTTTAAATATCTAGTAAATGTACGGTAAATTGTATACGGTTTTATAGTGTTTAACTACTTTGTTTAAAAATTCCTTTTGTTAAATAAAAAGATTGTTAGTTTGTATTTTGTTTGTTTGAATTTAAATTTTCAGCAAGCTGCCTTTAACAAATGATAAATATTTGCGAATAAAGTTTTGATTTAATTAAAATCTCAGCAGTCATTTGACCCTGAGCTCCTCATAAAATCTTAATTATTGAAAAAATAAAAATAAAGATAAATGCCAACACCATTTTCAAGGTTATGATTTAGGATCGTTAATTGTGTCAACGGCCATCATAAAACGCATCTATCAACATCCGATGAAAACGTCTGACCTAAACGTGTTATTAGCCATATATAGACTTCTACAAAATTGTTGGTCAATTAATATGCCATTAGGGCAAAGCTTTAGTTCCAGCCTAGAGCCAAGAATTCGAACATTTATCAATACCGTTCGCCATTCTTTTGGGTTTCTTTCTCCAAGAATTTGGCCCCATAGCCAAGATGCGGAACCGTTAAGCATTTCACCTTAAGCAAGTCACAACGAAGCGAATGGAGAAAAAACTATCATAAATTTGACTTTTTAATGTTAATAAAACATTTTTACGAGTCTTTTATGTGTGAAAATTACGCAGAAGGGCATTAAAATAAACGAGACCACGAGCTGCAAAACAGTTAGCCAGCTGGCAGGTGCAAGCCAAGTTAATATAATACGTCATTATGGCAGCCTCATCCGCACCTTCGGCACACACCTTCCCGTTTTTCTTAAGCTTTGCTTTAGGGTTCCCTTAACAGTACAATTGGAAAAAATATTAGAATTAAAAATATTTAAGTTTAAAAAAATATTTAGATATGACACTTCTTTAAATATATTTTTGAGGCAAAGGAAATTGATATTAATTTGTATAATAATTTTTAACACATGTACAAACTAAAATAAATCAAATGGTACCATGCTGCTTTTCTGCGAAATATTTCTCTTAGTGCACTTAGTACCTCCAGATCATGACTTGGAGAAATGTGTGACTCTGGAGTGAGATGACACCGTGTAAATAGCCGGCGGTAGGAAGAAACTAAACCGAAACTACTGGAGAACAGGTGTAGAACAATCAGACGCGAGGCGGTAAAAAAAACTGCCCAAGTAGCTGGAACGCAGGTCACTGAACTCCAAGACAAACGCTTCAAATATATTTTACACCGGGGCATTAACAAAGTGCCCCTTGCCACCGCTCTTCTTACCAAAGCCATGATAATGCGGCATTTAGTTGACCAGTTTTTGTCGTGAATGGCGTTTATTTATCTTGGCCTGGAATTGCCAAATAGTAATGACCATATAACTTGCTAATATGGGCTATTTTGGGTTTTTGTTTTTATTTTTTTTTGCTTTTTTTATTATGTCACATGTTAATTATATACTTGTGCGTGGGTTGAAACCAGTTAGCATGAGTCTTTTGTGGAATAGGATTTGCTTTTGTTTAAGGCTTACAAATCTACATAATCAATTTAATATAAGCCAAGCCCCTTGATTGAAATCAGACATTCTAATTAATTTTCTAAAGAGGTGGAAAGTTTTTGACTAGTTTTTAATATCCCTGTTAAATTCTTGCTTTTCCTATTTTCATTTTATTTTATTAAATAAAACTACGCCTAACAAGATAGCTTTTCAAATCATTTCTGCTCTGAATTCTTTAGTAGATTCTTAATCCGCTCCGCATTAGTTTTCCCAGATCGACGTTCTTTAGCATTCCCGAACAAATTGCACTTTAATTGAAAACACTCTGTGAAATTAGCAGCGAGAATGTCCGGAAAGTGAACCGCTGCCAATAACTGTAACCAACGTGACAAACCTCGACCAACTTCAGTGCTCGTCCCCGTTTTGCCGCAAACTCACTCACTTGCTGACCCACTCTGCACCACCGATGGACCATCCAACCACGCGAGATCGAGCCACTCGGCGGTGGTGCCGGGCCATACTATACGATGTCATCAGACAATGACGACGATGGTTAATCGGCCAGCGTTCTCATTATGATGGCCGGCAATTTCCGCACCTACTTAGCCGCCTCGCATGTCTAACCGTAAATCCCTATTGACCCCCATTGCCCAACCGTAATGCTTGACCACACACATCCTCCATTTTCCATCCTCTGTTTTTCCGAGGGCTGATTTGTAACCTGATCAATGTGGCAATTGCTTCCTCTTCTTCCACACACACACACACACCACTTGGCCTTTTCATTAGCTTCAATTTCAATTTGCTGTTTGCCATTCGCAATTTGCGCACCAAACTCTGTTTCGTTTCTGTTTCTATTTCTATTTTTTAGCCATTTTTGCCTGGGCTCGGGCCGAGGAAAAAAACTTGTTTATGGCTCCTACAAGAATGTGGAAAGCAAGAAAACGAAACGTAAAAAAATACACAAAACTGGGTTAAAATTGTTAGACAACCTGAAGTTGCAGTTGCCGTTTCTGAAATATTGCATAGGTATGGGGTCTGCGATATCGAGTCTGGTCTATAAGCTATGGCCTCGCCAATCTGCAAGCTCCAAACTCCAAACCCCTACAAGTGTTTTCGAATTGCAGGCACACATCGAGTGCTAAATTGAGTGGAGTGGAATGTTTGCTGGAAATATGGGAAGCTACCTACGATGTGGAAAAACATTTTTTATTGCATATTAAAGGGTTCTAAGTGGAATGTACAGATTGATGAGGCGGAAACTTTATTGCAAGCTGCAATTTGTAATTAATATTGCATGCCACCTTAAACATTAAGTGTTGGCTGATTTAAAAAAAATATATAAGGTGGCACTTAATTATTAAAAAAATAGAAAATCAAATTAATTACCTAAATACCTAATTAGTGTTGGGAGAAAATTTTATAATATAACAAACTCAACTTAGTTAGTTATTAAATATTTTGAAAAATGGAAATTTCTCCCTTGAAAAAGTATATGCAAAATCACGAATTTTGTTTAAGCACTTTTTTTAATTAATCATAAAAAAAATTCCCCCAAAAACCTTCAACTGCTGAAACACAATCCCTCACATTTCTGCTCTGCTTTTCGGGCTCGTTTGCATTGACTTGGGTGTTTGTTTCGGAGCCACTGCACTTGCGCAAAGCCCAGAAACGCCGAAACCCTACAACAGTTAACCGAAACTCGTCTTGAGTATGGTCAGTAATGAAATAAAGCCGAACTGAACCAAGCCAGGCCAAACCAAACCAAAGCGGGCCAACTATTGGCGGCTACTTAGTATGCCCGGCCCGAGTTCGACACTCACTTCGAGAAGGCTGAAAAGGTGCAACAAAACGCAACGTTCGGTTTCAATTGGGTTGTTGTTGTTGTTGTTGGCTTATTAATTACCTCACCGCACAATTGCGTGGCACATACAAAACACCCACCAGAAGGATTGGAAAGGGGATCCGAAGGGGGTTTTGGCCGCTTTTGTGTGTAGAACCCACAAAAGGCGTTGGACGGTGGCGGGTAATACGAGTAACGACTTTTGCGGCCCGTAAATGGAGCCCCCCGTCTGATGGAGTCAACAGCCCCAACCAGTTTGAAGTTTAATTTAGCATTTTTTCTCTCTATTTACTTTATATTTTATCTAAATTGTATTTTGATTGGCTGCGTGGCTTTCCATAAGCAAATGAAGAGCTCGAGAAAATTGAGAGTGACTTTGTCGATTTTTTTTTTGTTCACTTTTGCAAACTCGTTTTTGCATATTTCTCAGCCGTCCGCCGTTGGTTACTTTCAAATGTCAAACGAAGTTGAAGGTGGTCCACAATGATATTTGATTTTTTCCTATCCTATACCTTTTATATGATTTATTTTGAGTCATGTTGAAAAGCAATGCGGCGCCTTGACAAAACAAAAGACTTGAGCAAAAAACTTGTTTATGGTTTTTTTAACCAAATACAAATCTATTGAAGACAAAGAAAATATTTCCTCTATTACTTCAAAATGCGAGTTAGGTATTTAAAAATTTTTAAAAAGGCTTAGCAAAGTTTCAGTTATGACAAAAAAGTGCGATAGTGTAATAAGAGATTCATTTTTTATGTCTGAAAAGGTACATGTAATAAAATAAACCAATGCCAAATAATCATAAAAACTAAAATTGTTTGAAATTCATGAGCGAAGAAGAAAATCAATAGGAGAGATGATAATCTAGGAGAGATGATAATCTATTTTAACAGAGGCC